GATTCCACAAGATTTTTGATTTTCCGCGGCTCGCGCGTTGTATGGGATTCCCTACGAGCCCCAGAACTGGCACCCGGTGACTATTGATAGCGTTGAAAGCTGGTGGATTATGGGGTTTCTCAGAAACCTTTCCGGCAAAGCTCAGGGTATTGGAAAATCTCTTTCGAGGTCTCCTATAAATAGGATATAAAATAGCCTAAATATTCTTTTGAATATAAATTGAATTGCGGGCACCTTTTTAGAATCTATTCTTGTATAAATTTGTTCTCCTACGAGAGTGTACTGTTTGAAAATGTTCTCCTTTAAGAATAAGTTTATAAACTGTTCTCATTCGAGAGTGCAGCAGTTGAATATGTTCTCCTTTGAGATAGGTTATAAAATATTGTTCTCCTCCAAGCATGCACAGTTTCAAATTGTTCTCAGTCAAGGTGGCGTCGTTGTTCTTACTATTGCTGTTTTTCTTTCTTTTTTTTCTTTCTAATTTCTTAAACGGTGAACACTTTATAATAATGTACAAGTATTTATTTAACGATATTTAATAGACTTGTACAATGTGAAAAGTTGATTGATTATACAGAAATTGAGTTTCGAAAAGGAAATGTAGAAAAGGTTTATACAATTTGATTTTAGAAATGTTATTTTCACTCATTGAAATCAAATAAATTTGACTATGAATACTTTTTTAGGTGTTAGGTCCTAAGCGAAAATGGATTGCATTTTCGTGTTTAGCTCATTCATGTAATCTTCTGTGTGTACTAAAACCCTTTCCACCATTTTTGAAAGAAAAGTGCACATGTCCTTTTTTCGAAATTTTATAAAAACAAGTGGCCTTTACAGGCATTTAACTTAGAAAAGTCATAACTGTGTCAAAACGTCTTCGTTTACAGAAAAAACTTCAGGATATATTCAGCTTCACCTCCTCTACAATCTGGGAGAAAAAATATACATCATAAGAGCCTCTTTACTTCATTTATTTGCATGTAAACAGCGCAAAACTGAATTTCGTGCTGTTTCTTTCAATATCTTTTACTTCCTATGCGTCTTGTAAAACTTTCAGATATTGTTAACATTGTTGATTCACAAGAGTTAACTCAAGGGTAATTATGACAAAAAAAGAAGAAATCAACAAGCTGCTTCTGTTGGACAAACGAAATGTTGAAATTTGTGAACAGATTACATCGAGTTATCGACTTGAAAGTTTTTTTAATGAAACAGATCATAATACGCTATTGAAAACATTTAATAATTACAACTACGCCAAATATGATGCTTTAAGTTTATTTATTTGTTATATGATAAGTGTTTTGCACTGGTCTCAAGAATCAAAACTCTATTCGCCAGATACCCGTCAATATGTGACATGCAAATTGTTTGGAATATTAAGAGGTAAAAGTGGTAAGTTTTAATAGTGTTTCACTTTTGTGTAACAACAGCTTAATTTTCGCGACTGTCTCTCAAGTATGGATGAATAGTATTATCTATAGCTGAGCTTTGTCGTGCCTAAAAGCTCTTTCATACGATCTGGCGTTTGTTTCTAGATGGTAAAGCGTAGTGTTCCGTCATGAGAAGTTCGAGTTGGCAATAAACTAGACAAAATTTTCTATGGATAGTTCTTAGAAATCTGGAATAATAGATCGTGTATTACAGATGTTATCATAGGAACTGGAAATGCAAGATATGGTCGGAAAAAACGGACCTTATCTGGATATTTTGCAGTTCTGCGGGTAAAAGATTAGACAATATTTCGCGACAAGGGTTTATGACAGGTAACACTTTTTCCATCCCACTTTTTGTGTCTCTCTCTCTTCTTTTAGTTATCGGTAATTCTGGATGCATTAAACAAATATGTCAAGCATCTGAATGGGTTGAATTATATTTTAGAAAAGCTTTGTTTACTGATGATCATGGTAAATTTAGTTCAACATGCATCGAAACAGCTACACCAGCTAGATTAGCTATGGACTTGGCATCATCGTCAAAATTTTTAAGTAGTGATGATGATGGTCCATTGAGAAAAATGGACTTTTTCAACCCAACATCAAAATTAGCAAAACAAAAACAATCAATTATAATTGATGCATACAATGGAGTTTATCAGGATAAAAAAACTACGATAACGGACGCGAAGGATATCAACGATAGAAGCTTGACCATTTTGATTCCGACCACTGGTAATCAATGGTTTAAAATTTTGCCTTACTTTGATTCCAATGTTACAAATGGTAAGTATTTCATTCAAATTTCGACTTTTTGACCAAAAGTGATTATAACGCGAAGAAAAGTAATCAACGCAGCAGAAATAACGGCTGGCATCGTAGAGCGATGAGACATTCAGTATATTTAATACAGCTATCTGAGATGCGTTTTACCGGTCTTTTAGCATTTTGATGTTGTGGATGTTGCAATAAGACATCCCCTAGGAAATTCAAAAAAAGGGCTTTATACTTTTGTTGCCCGTGAAAAGACGAATCGAATGTAGTGTAAGTCAAAGTTCCATCCCTTACCAGAAAAAATTAGATAGATTTACAAAACCTGTTGGTGCCCTTTAGGGTATCCTTAACTCTTAATTTTTAAATTGATAATATTCTACAGGATCGAATTCTAAATAATATTTTCAGAGTCAGTTTCATACACTGAACCAGAAAAAGTGAGTTTGGAAGTTTCAAAATGAAACAGAAAGAAATTTCTGATATTTTTTTCAGTCGAAAGAATTTTCGAAATTTAAAGCCCTTCTAGTATTTTCAAAATTTCTCCGTCAAAACTCATGTTTGAAAAGCCCAAATCTAGCTCTTCTTGGTCAGCTCGACGGGCTCTATCGAATGATATATAAACAAGAGAAAAAAAAGTAGTGCTTGAAATTCTAATTATGCACGCCTTACTTGTAAAAGAAACAGATGTACACTGCCTTAAAAAATAGGTTAAATCGGTTTACTGGAATTTGGCCAAGCGGAATTTTGATTCTGGGATTTGGCCGTGGCCAGATTCAAGTGGAAACTGACCAAAAATCTAAATTGTACAAGACTTTGGCCGTTTTGCCAAACTCCACTGGAAATTGGCCAAAAGTCTAAATTCCACAGGAATTTGGCCGTTTTGTCAAATGGCGTTATATACGATTGACAAGTGAAAAAATACTTCTCTATCTGCTTCCTACCCTCTTTCGTTCTTTTTAATAGGGGCTACTACTTTAGAAATGTTTTTTGTATCAGTCTATACCGGAAGAAATAATGGAATGTGCCTAAATGGATCGTTAGGAGAGGTCTCAGGGCATGGTTATTCTCTCATACTGGCCGCCCCTCTTCCCCGCACGTACACACTCCTGCATTCTCTTTGCAACTCGGCAGATTCTGGTGCGATATGGCATCGCACGTTATATCCATGGTACATTAAAGAACTTTTTTGTTTCTTCTTTCTGCTTTTCTCTTACTTCTTTTCTATCTAAATATTAAATCGTTGTTGAATCTAGGAGAATGGCCAAATTCCACCAGAATATAAATTTTTTGGCCAATTTCCACTGGAATTGGATCAAAACTTGTTACGGCCAAATTCCACTTGGCCAATTTCCAGTTTACCGTGAAATCAATTCTAGCAGGGTCGGACAGAGGAAAAAATGTCTTTATTTTGGTTTTCGATCTCATAAACAGCTAGTTTAACCACGGTGTGGTCTACAGGCACATAAATAGAGCTGTTGTTATCGTATTCATCAACGTATATATTGAGATGACGTTGAACACTCTCAACATTAAAGTCCAATCCTTCGATGTCCACAATATTTTTGATACTGAAATATATTGTTGATCCCGCTTGAGATATTTTTATACTGAATAGTGTCTGTCCAGACAACTCAAATTATATTCTCTTCAGACGGTGTATTAAAATCCATTTGTAGGGATGGTCTAAACCCAAGGGGGAAAAACCTCACTTTAAGTGTGTGCATCTCCGAGTTAAGTGTCACTTTAAGTGTTTAAGTTCTTAAGTGTCACTTAAAGTGGTTAAGTGACATTTCAAATTCCGCATCTTTCCGGAAAGTCAAGAAATCAGTCCTATATGTTCTGAGATCTGAAATGTATGAACTGCAGCTGTTCCACGTCATACGAGTCTGTTTGTTTTCATCATTTTAATGAACAAAGTTAGAAAGCAGCTACAAATGTCAGTAAAAAACCGAAAACTAATAACTGTTTCTTTCAGTATAGATCAGTCGGTTTAGTGATAAGACAACAGTTATTTTTCTTTCTTTTTACTGTTGTTATTTTACTATGTATAGACGGGCGATGGATTTATCACAGCCTTTCTCTTTCTCTATTGCTCATCGTTCGTTTAGTTATGGATGCTACTCACTCGAAGTAACCTCATCGAGTAACGTCTCAATCTTATTCTTTCGTCTGTTTTCCCTCTTTTCTTTCTATACATAATTCTGATAATTTTACTTAGGAAGAATTAAATAGTTGAAACAAAATCGAACGTTTAAAGTTGAACAAGGGCAATTATCAAGGAAGAATATTAGCTAGACATCAGCTGCCGGCCTAATAGCCCTAACACATGCATATGCATTAAAATGTGCACGAGAAAAAAGGTCTCATATACTGGACTGCTTTTTATAAGGCAACATAAACATTCAATACCACGTACTTTTGAGCAAACAGCGAAATCTGTTACTTTTTCTTACCATAAGGAGGAAAAATTAGCAATCACTACTGCTCAAATCTAGTTCAACCAGAAAAATATACGTGACACTTAAAGTATCACTTAAAGTGGTTAAGTGTCACTCAAAGTGACTAAATGACACTTACAGTGACTGTCACTTATAAGTGTGTGTACCCTTTTAGGAGGTCGTCTCCCCCTTGTCTAAACTCCTCTACAGAATGGAAGCCCGGTGGGCTTCTGTTTTGTTCTGCAAATTATAAGTTTGAGGGTGAGCTTGTATTGCAAAGATGGAACTGGGCGACCGAGCCGCCGATCCGGTCCGATCGAGACTTATCAATCGGCCCGTTTGACCAGTCCCCGTCAAACCGCTGAACCGAGTCCGTCAGCTTATAATTAAAAAATATGATCGAAAAAAAGTAGATTTAGTAGCATTTCGTACTGCTCAGAAAAAGACAATAATTGCATTCATTATTCTCTGCTTGAAATATTCATTCACCATCCCATAAGGGTTCTTTGAATCATTAGGTGCTAATCGGTTACCGATCAACATTTTTAGAAAAATTACCGATCAATCGGACAGCCCAGTCAATCGGCCGGTCCGGCGAACAGGGATCTGCCCGGTGCCGTTGACCGGTTGGTACCGGTTACAGTTTTATTGACCAGCAGCATCTCTGTTGTATCGTGATCAACTCTTTTCGTGCTGCGTGAACAGAGTGGGCTTCTATTATGTTCGGAAAATTGTAATCTCGGGGCTGGACTTCTGTTTTGGGATGGGCTTCTATTATAGGGTGGGCATCTATTCTGTAGGGGGGTTTAGATAATTTCTAGACAGAAATGAGAGCGTCTATTTTAAGAATTTTCATGATTAAACTGATGATTCAATACATGCAATTCTAGTCGAACAATGAAAGCTTCTAAGCGCGGTTTTTTAAATCCGGTCTGAGCGCATTTAGACGCATCTTAAAATGGTGAGCGTCGAGATGCGTCTCTCGTGCAATAAAGAGATTTGCCTGGTCTGATCGCGTTTCTGCTTTACTCAAAATGAACAGATGACATTAGACGAGTTCAAAGAACCATTTTGACCTAAAAAACGCATTCGGATGCCATTCGCGTGTCAAAAATAAAATAAGGCGTTTAGACGTTCCGCTGCCTACGAGAATTTTTCTGTGGGTTTGTTGAGACATCGTACGTATATCAGCTGAGTGCTATAATCTAATTGTCTTTTTACCGCTAAAATGTAGTCATTTCTAAGACATCGTAAATCACCGAAGCATTTTAGTACATACTAAAGCCGTCCTTTCACTAACTAACTCGATAAAAACATTTCAGCTCGCATCCCTTTACCAGATGTGCGCACCCTTCCAAAAAGCATGCATGAGCATCTATTACGCCGATATGCGTCACCACTCACTGGTCTTATCTTTACTCTCAGCTTATGAGACTGAGCAGTATTTTTGACCTTGGTACAGATTACTGAAGTTGCAATATAAATAACCTCCATCAAAAAGACTAAATGTACTTTTGATCACCAAATTTTTTAGCATGCATATCGCATTTTTATTTCTTCATTTATTTATTTCTCTTTCGAACGGCGACAACCGTCAGTCTTTTAGCTCCCGATACTCGCTATACTATATCCAGTATTGTTGTCCGCTGGATCGAATTGTCTAAAAGGTCGAATTCTATAAAATTTAAATTGTTTTCAACATATCCTATTCCTCTTATCTCTCTCCTTATGGCTGACCCTAAAAATTCGGCCGAAAAAGGTTCAGTAGTAGTTGTAGCGTTCTTTGAAAAGAGTTGAAATAAAGAAGTGAAATCATAAAATGATTATAGGAGGAAGTGCTTTGTCATCTTTTTCACTAGTAAAACCACTAACTACTCGAGCTTCGGCTCAACTTTCAAATCGATGTGCTTGGGAGGTACCGAAGTATAAACGAAAAAACACAAGTTCATCTTTCTTACCTAAAATAATTTTACAGTGGAATGTGTTGCCAAGGGAGGTGATTTCTCAATTTTCCATTCTAGCCTTTAAACGTGCCTTAAGAAAACATTTAAAGTTGTAACAACCCTGTCTTATAAGCCATATTTGTTTTTAACTTTTTCTTTGGAAATTTTGCTTATTTTTCTATACGGTGTGACTTAGTCAAAGCTCTTTAGAACTTTTTTGTCATCCCTGTCATTCAACATCGTGACTCAATAAACTCGTATGTAATAAACGAGTGGTCAAAGCCTATGTGTAAGAGCAGTATACAAAATATACTTTGTATCTTATGCACACGGCGCAGGGTCAAGTACTTGGAAATAGAAGTCCTCACAATACATATAAAGCACAACTCATTCTACACTTTGTTTCTTATCTCTTTTTTATGCATAATGCTTTAAGGTTTTATTTAATTTTCGAAAAAATGGTTCATTTTGATTAAAGATCGTTTTGACGCTACGTTAATAATTTTCATGACATGATACGAACTGTTGAGGCAATTCGAAGAATTTTGCCTAGCTTTCCTTTCAGTAATACCAGCAAAAGAAGAACAATATTGTTGCTATACGCTTAAAAACATTTGGTGATCAAAAATATCTTTTTTTTGGTGATAAAAAAAATTGATACCCCACCAAATGTATCTTGATAATCGTAAGTCCAATCTAAGTAAACTTTTCAGGAAATGCTGACTTTATGTTTGTATACTTCCGACAAAATTTCGCGATGTCATCTATCACCGTTTTGGAAATCTTGCTCAATTATGAGGCAAAATGAGGCTGTTCATAGCTGTAACATTTCTCGGCAAACCATCGTGCAGCGTTCGGCACTGTCTTAAATTGATGAAACACATTTCTGTTGGAGGAAGCTCATTGGAAAAAAAGAAAAATAAGTTAAAATCTGTGCATAGTGAAAATGAAATTATTCTGTATTTCATCCTTCTTATTTTATTTGTTGTCAGTTGTCGCTGACAAAACTATACAAATTATATAAAATCTAGTAAAACAGGAAGAGTATTTTAAACTCAATTAAACATGTGGCTTTAAACTTAGTCTAATAGAACCTGATTTTTAATAGTTTACTTTACTAATAATGGTACGAGTCAGAAGTCAGAGATTCAAAGGAGTTTGATTGAAATGCGTGATAAAGTTTCTCTAACCACAAATCTCGACCTAATCTAAAAATCGAGGTCTACTAGCATCTAGGTATGGAGCAATTACGGTTAACTATAACTGCAAAACTGCTCATAACTGTCAGAAAAGAATTTATATGTAAAACCACCGTTTATGATCTTTCCGATTTCATAAATAAAAGTTAGTTTTAACTTGTTGTGCCTTTGAATTTCAGTTATGCTTCAAATATAGCAGTACTTCTTGTTTAACAAAATGTTATTATGTCAACAGACATTATGCAATCGTTCAGGATCTTTTGTTTTTCTTCTTTGGTCATCTTTCTTGCAGATGCGCAAGACATGATCTAGAGAACTATTTGCCACATAGAAAACTTCTGAAAACGGGAGCCGGTTCTCGGGGTGCTGAAAATTGACAGTTGAGCGTTCTTTTTTAAAAGATTGCACTGGATCCAGCGACATAAACTCCAGAAGTAGATGAAATGTGACCTAGAACTTAGATTTTTCATATATTCATTAACAGATTGTTATAAATTGTGATCGTGTAAATTGTTCTTTATCTAGTAGTTTATTGTATTCAGACTTAATCGTGACTCACATACCACAACTCACATCGTCTATCGAGAATCGCTTAATTATCGTTAGTGCTCCTATGACTCAGCTCATAAACAGAACAATAAGTATGCTGGAAAAAAGCAATATTTACGATATAACTCTGGAACTATCCCGTAGATAAAATTTTCTCTGCAGAAACGGAACATCTACATACTATAACAAACATAAAGTTCCAAGGAACCATACTGATCAGACGAAGCGTTGATAGAGAAGTGCTTGTGACAAGGTTTGTATCTTGTGCGTCTTTAAATTGTCGGTTTTACTAAAAGCTTAACCTGGCCTCGAGCTATAGCTGCGAGACAGGATAAAAAAACTTTTTTACCAAACTATTTCTCAACTCATTGGCTATCAATTGCAAATAAAAAGTTTAAGTCTATTTACTTGCTTGCCTACTCACTGTGTACAGGTACTGTATACAGTGAATTTAATATCGAGCGACAAAAAATACAAAAGTGTCTGTTAAGTGTAGTGTGTACAAAAGTGTAGTTTTATTAAAAATACCACAAAAAATAAACACAAATCTTAAATCTAATTATCTCTCTGAAACCACAACTGTAATTTGGTAGTAATCAAGGCTGATTTAAATTTAAATACAATTTCATTTATGAATTAGATCTATAACTAGATGTCAACTGCGAACTACGAAGATTGGAAGCCAACTGACGAGGGAACGTTCCTACCCCGCTTTTTCAACGAAACCTAGTGGGTTATAGGTTATCGATGATGCTGATTTCGAATATGAATATGAGAGCTGTCCTTATGGCTTCTACGAGCCGGTTTTCTGGAAAACCAGTTTCTCAGAAACCCTGAAAAACAATCAGAACTTCTCTTAATAAGCCATGCTTATAGCCCGCACATTTCTCATTAAAATGAGACCTCTCCCAACTCTACATGACCTTTCTTTTCAAATAAATAAATATTCATTGTCAGCTGAAAGCTACAGAAATCAGAAGATATTAATTTAGGGCTTTTCTTGTAAATTCTATAACTTTGCAAAGAAAGGTCTTGTAGAGTTGGGAGAGGTCTCATTTTAATGAGAAATGTGCGGGCTATAAGCATGGCTCATTAAGAGAAGCTTTGGTTGTTTTTCAGAGTTTCTGAGAAACTGGTTTTCCAGAAAACCGGATTGTAAAAGCCATAAGGGTAGCTCTGATATTCATATTCGGAATCAGCATGGTCGATAACCTATAACCCACTAGGTTTCGTTGAAACAGCGGGGTGTCACTTAGGAATGTTCCCTCGTGAGTGAAATATTTCCGAAACCGGTTGGCTTCTAGCTATGACAAGCTACGTAGATAATTAGTTTAAACCGGAAATATCTCAGTGAAAGAACGTAGTGTTTTTTCCTTTATAGCAACAAAAATATGTTTCGAATTTTATTCCCCTACATTTATCTTCCACAGTATATTATTCGCATTATCGTATCAGCTGATTCATTATCTTGTCATATATTCTACTGTAGCATCATCTCTGTTTCATCATCTCAAGCACTGTAGTATATATTCGCTACAAAGGATATCACGTAACGATTAATTACTGATAGGAGAAACGATACAGTTTTCTGAAAAATATACTCATTTTGTGGCACTGATTATAGGATAGCTAAAGAAAATACCCCAAAACTAACTTCAGTTGTGTTGTTGACTCTTCTACTTTCGAATAATCTTTTTCTCAAATCTGTACGATTAGAGATAATCGAGAATGGTGGGTGGAAAAATCGACCAAAAGTGTAGAGAAAGATAGAACACATAGCCTCTGGCGAAAAGCAATAAGCCGACTTAATTTCACTCAGTCGGCTTAACCATATTCACATTCTTTGACTTTTTTACGTTTTTTTATAAAACTAAGTATATTTAATATAATTGAAAAACATTTTCGTAAAATCATTTTACATAAAAAGCGAGCTTTCGACACTTCACGAGTATCATCATCAGCTAATAAGACTGTCGAATTTAGAAGGGAGATGGTTGTATATACTAGTGGAAAAAAAAGAGCTCTCTAAAAAAAATCACCTCTCTTCTAAATTCGACAGTCATATTAGCCTGTTGATGATACTCGTGAAGTATCGAAAGCTCGCTTTTTATGTAAAATGATTTTACGAAAATGTTTTTCAATTTTATTAAATATAGTTAGTCGGCTTAACTATCTAAGTTACAGCTGGTGCCCTGATTCATTATCCCACTGATACACTTAACACTTAAGTATTTATAAGGCGTTTGATTCGCCTTGTTCTGTTTTATGGCATGGATATCAGAGCAAAAAACTTCCCGACTATAGGCAAATCTCAGTCGCTACCAGGTAAAATAAAAGGCTGTTGACATCGTACCTTGGACGTAATACAATTGCAATCTTTTTGGTGTGTTTCTTTTTTTCAAAACTTAAAACGTATGAAAACGTGAAGCATTCTGTTGTGAAGTGCAACGTCGTTAGTATAGGCAGAAGTATTCCCAAGGCAATGACACATTTCGATACAAAGATACTGCTTATCCCTTACAGTTATACAAATTTTTATTTTCCATGCGTTTATTATATGTTCTTATCAGAGTCAATACTCGATTTTTACGTTTTGATCATCCCATTAACTGCATGTGACGTTCTCAATATACCTATTTTAATCCTAGACATCGCGATTTCGCATTTTAATGTTGATAAAATTTAAAAGATTATCGGGATAATACAAGACTATGATAATCCTTTTAATTTAACATCCGTTGATGCAACATCCACAAAAAAAACAAGAAAAACGCACCTCAGACAGCTGTATTAAACATACTAAATGTCTCATCGTCCTACGAAATCATTCATTGTTTCTAGTGTATTAATCGCTTTTCTTCGTATTATAATCAATTCAAGCATTTTTCAAGAGTTTTTAACTGTAGCTGTTTTACAGCAACAGTTAACTGCAACTAGTGCATAGCTAATTTTGGTTTCGATATGGCACAGACCCTGGCTCTGGCTATCTTTCCATTTGATAAGAAAATCTTTGCAACATTGTTCGTTGCTCACAAACAGATCGATTTTGAAATATAATGGCACTAATGTGCGGCACACAACTTTTAGTAAAGCTGTCATAACTTTTGATCAAACCATTACTTGAGAGGAGGGACTTAAATAGATACGATTTAGATATATGCTTTTTTTTCTTTTCTTTAAATTTTAAACAGGTTTCTTTGAGAGATTCATTTATTGGTGTACATCAGCAGAAAATGTTGTCAAAGGAAAAATAACACACGATAAAACACTACCGAGTCTTGAAGTATTGTTTGTTGTACGAATTTTATTGGGATATCGGATTTATGAATACTCAATAGATGCATATGCTTATTTACAACCGATCTTGAAAGGATTACGTAATAATAAATCACTAAGTGAAATAACAACAAAAGCATCATTGAACAATAAAAGCGAACAATCATTAGAAAGGAGAAGTGCCGATCATATTGAAAGAATTGCATTTGCCATACAGACAACATTGGATATATTTAAAGTTATAGATGATATTAAGCCTGATATTGATAATGATATTAAAATTGAATTTGGTGAAATAACAAAAGCAACAAGGTTAAAAATAAAAGAAACTATTAAAAAGAGTTATTATACCAATGATAGCTCTGGTTCCGTTAATGATTCAATAGCTGATTATCCATCTGATGTTGATTTGTTGGAATTAGATAAAGTGCAAATAAAATCGATAAAGGAAGCTCCAAAACAAACCATGAAAATATCGTTGGATGCAGTTAAAATAGCTGTAAAAATGTATGATGAGTTATTCTATCCTCAAGGGTTACAATTGTTTAAATGTGAACTGAGTGCAATTGAACAAGCTCAAAAAACAAAAGATAATGAGAAAAAAATACTCGAATTACCTTTTAATATACTTTATACTAATCAATTAGTGGCTGGTGGTTGTATTTTTCATAACGCAAAAAGAAGAAATATTAATGCTCAGCAGTTACTAAAGAATCTTGTTGAAAAAAACATTTTATCGTCTGGAAAGTTTTTAAAGACATCAGCAAAACACGTTCGTAGTTGGATTAGAAATTTTAACTTTACTAATAAAAATGAATTTGATAGATTTAAACATACATTGTTTAATGACTATGGTTGGACATTGGAAAGCTATTTAAGAAGAGTTAAACAAAATGCTGATTATCCAACAAATTTAGAATTAGTAAATCCGCGTGGTGTAGAAAAATTAAAACAACAAAAACAATCAATTAAATTGGTAGATGAGCAAATAATGAGAATTATGGGGCAGCATTCACAAAAAGGTATACTTTGTCTCATCACACAGTAGGCATTTTTCTATAGAGCAGGCGGACATCTGCTTTTTTGAGTTAAAAATGATTATTTTCGCATAATACAGTGTTATTATGTGTATTAATATAAGTAAAAAAAAGTCGAATTCGAAAAAACATAAATCCTTCCCCTGAAAGTCGGTCAAAAAATGTTTTATTTATAAAACTAACCAATTATGGATTATTCGATGTAGTTTTGCGCGCTGATTCCAAATATCTCATTATTTTTTAATAAAAGTGTTCCTGGGCTGAGAAAATAGATTTTATCTCAAAAACCGGGGTCTTCTGCAAAACCCATAACTCTGTATGAGAAAAGTTGTGCATTTTTGTGCATGCACTATAGGTACAGCACATCCTGGCGATCATTTTGGTGTAAGTTTGAGTCTTGTTGAAGTTTAGAAAAATTTACAAAATGAACATTAACGGAAGGTGGGGTTCGGAAATGTCATTTATTCGAAAAATTACTAGCTTTTACCAACTTGCTTCTACCCAAAGTGAAAACTTTTGTACCAGCAGATAGCTGACACTATTTGCTTAAGAATATGTTGCAATGACGGATTTGCATCGATTCATTGGAACGAGAAGATTGAATTTTCTAAGAGGACGTTGAAATATACGTCGTATTTCCTTCCCAAACTTTTCTAAGAAAGAGACCACGTGGAGCAAAACTTTGCATCATTAGGTAGCGCGTTGAACAAAGTATATTTGACGCTATTCAAATCTGCCAATAAATTCCTCACGGCAACCTTAAAGTACGGAGGCACGTTGGCAATTTCTAATACAAAAACACCTAGTCTAGAGTTGAGAAGAAGTTTTCTATTCAGATGCTTAAGTGAGAATGTTGAAAATAACTTTCTAATTTATTTTAAGAAGACTTGTTAGATTTGTTTGAGTAAATTAATTCAGGCAGGCTTTTTTCGCAACCGACAGTATTTATTTCAATCAATTTCTTTAACGGTTATTATCCTGTTTGTATGTGTTCGATTTCGAAGTGACGTTGCTATGTTCACAGTAGCTTATCAAAGTATTGTTTATGTTTTCAGATGAGGATGCTCAAGAAATGGATATTGACCAATCCGGTGATGCTGAGAATAATGGAAACGGTTGTTTTACTATAATTAAACCCAGATTAACAGATCCCATGAATGAAAAGAGTAATAGTAAACGGCTGACAGCTCAACGACTAGGTATCTACAAAGACGCAAGATACTATTTGTTCTAAGAGCTCGAAGCACGAGCAATGTTTTTACTTAATGAACAAAGATATCTTGCAGTTCATGCGATATGCTCAAAAAGAAAAGTCATAGTAACCTTGTATCAGAGACACAAGGGCGTAACGCCCCCCTACTTCTGGAATTTGCTTATATTACGCCCCTCACGCTCCCCTGCTTTTGAAAAATAAAAACTAAACTTCTGTCTGTGTGCAGTAGGTCATTCCAATTTACGCCCCCCTGCTCTAACGAGGAAAGGACACCAAGTGATAAATCGCTTCTAGCTTAAAACTTAACGAACAATAGGTAATCGAGTGTGCTGATTCCGAATACTAACATGAGACGGGCCGCTAGGCCTCCAA